TAAGATCACACCAAACCATAAGTGCATACAGCCAATTATAATTTCTCCCCCTAAAAAATTATCATCTAGTAACCACCTTTAATATTGAAATCAATACAAACATGTGCAATTGCAACAACCAAACCAGACTGTTCATGAAACATTATATTTTTTAAAGTAACCACCTTTAAATAATTTTCTAATAAACATTTTAACCAATTTTTAAATTTTTTTTAAATGAAAATAATTAAATATATAATTTTTTATAAGTATATATTATATTAGTTTACATTGAATATATATCTTTTACTTTTTTTCTTATTTTTCTCAAAAATGAATAAATAAATGATTAAACTTTTATCTTTTCCCAAGTTAAATGCTTCCCCCTTCTTTTATTAAAAATAAATTTTATCTACAATTTTTCAATTATCTTAAAAATATTTTAGTAAAAAATTTATTTTAATCATGTAAATTTTGTTAATAGTTATTTTGAACAATTATCCTTTATTATCTTTGAGATATAAAATGAATGGATATGTGATAAATTAAAAGTAGATGCTAAATAAAAAAATTAAATTAAAAATCTAAGTAGATATTTCATAATCAAAATAGAAAGAATCTTATGTTGACTCGATCTAGATTAATTTGAATATCCATTAAAGTCTCTTTAATAGAGTCAATCTCAAGATAATAGGGAATACTTTCTATAACTTTACAATTTAAAATAAATAAACTTTAATAATTTTATACATAATTTCTTCCATAATTCAAATATTAAAATAAATTAAATAATCAAGTTTTGAATTCTCATCCAATAATAATCCCAACAAATTTAACATTAACAAATTAAACAATTTGAGTAATTTGAAGAACAAGAACCAGATGAGGAAACATTACCATAAAATACCCCCATCCTTACTGCTTATTTTTGTTAATACTTGATGATTGTTAATGGTCAAGTAACAGTGCGATGTATATTACAACTAACCTTACTTGAAGGTTAAAAACCATCAAGTATTCTTCACCTATTTTATTTATTTCTTATTTTAAATAATCATTAAATATGGAGCATCATATTTAAATAATCATGTGGTAGTAAAAAGTAGACCTCAATAGAAGAAATAGACACCATGTATATACCAAGCCAAGCATCAAATGTGCAATATGTCAAATAGGTTGCAATGCCATTTGCATCTTACAATATCTATACAACTTTAACATTCCAATGCTATTTATGTATATGTATGTAAGTAAGTATGTATTTATGTATAACTTAACTTGATTATAATTTAAATAAATTTTTTGAAATAATTCATAAAAAATTATAAAAAAATAATTCATTTATAATTTATATATAACTTAGCTTGATTATGTATACTAGTTTAATAAGATTATTATTAAAAAATAATCCATGAGAATTTTTTTAAAAATGTGATTATTAAAATAAGATCATCATTAAAATACTCATCTCACAAGATCATTATTTTTAAAAGTAATCATTATTAATCTTATATATAATTTATTTCTCATTCTATAAATAAATACTTTTAGCAGCAACAAATTTTTCCCCTAAAAGTAATTATGTAAATTAATTTTATAAAAAAATTTAATTTTTTATAAAAAAACTTGTCGCCACTAAAAGTAATATTATATAAATTATTTTTCATTTCTTGATTACTTTTTTTATGAAAATATTTTTGGCGGCTATAGTTTATCGCCACTAAAAATAATTACATAAATTATTTTTAATTTTTAATTAAATTTTATGAAAATACTTTTGACAACAACAATTTGTCCTCATTAAAAGTAATTGCATAAATTATTTTTAATTTTTAATTATTTTTTATAAAAATACTTTTGGCAGCGATAAATTATTAATGGTGACATAAATTTTTTTTATTTTTTAATTTTTTTATAAAAATACTTTTGGTAATTATACAAATTATTTTAAATTTTTAATTATTTTTTTATGAAAATACTAAAAGTAATTATATAAATTATTTTTATTTTTTTATGAAAATACTTGTGTCGCCACTAAAAGTGATTTTTAGTGGTAGTGACTTTTAGTGACATTACAATGTCGCCACCAAATGTTAATTTCTAATGACAATCTCTTGTCGTCACTAAAAGTAAACTTATTGTTGCCGCCAAAAGTTGTTTTTTTTTAGTGAAATCACAATGAATTCTTTTCAAGGCAAGGGAATTAAAACAAAATGACCACTTTCTCTATCTCTAGATTGAACTCACACATTGATAGCAACAAAGCAAAAATCTCAGTCAAGTAAGTTTTTTTTATTTTCCTTATGATAACATGTAATCAACATACCCAATATTTAATATTTAACCTACCTTGTTGACTTTAGAGCATTAAGACATGTGGTTTGTTTCAAAGGCTTTGGACAAAATTAATGTATTTAATTTCAACCTTAAACTAAGTAAGGTTATTGCAACAAATTAGTTAAATTTCACTCTTTTGACAACCAAAGCCCTCAAGCAATTTTTAAACTTAACCTATTCCAATTAAACCTATTACATATTATTTGAACAAACATGACTTCCAGTTAATAAAATAAGATTCAAAACAGAATGCTAAAAGATCCCTCAACAACAAGTGTAAGTGAGTGCCTGAACAATCCTACTTGAAATAGAATTTGGGGCTACCAATGACTTACAAAGTCTAGTTGTCTATAATGAAACTCAATCTAGAGAATGCAATGGCAACTAAACATACATTAAAAGCTCATCATACATTTACTTGATTATATATAGTAATTTGTAATTTCAAAATAGGAACATTTATCAAGAGACAAAAGTAAAACCTGTGAAGACTCTAAACTTGCTCAAATGGTAAATATCAATCTTTGTGTACGAAGAGGAATAGAGAAGAGTCTCATTGCTAACAAATCTTGCTTTTCCCATTTGCGGATAAGAGTCTGAGATAGGGCCTACTGAGAGACAAGGGCTCTCAACTGGTCACATGGAGTTGTCCTAGAGGTCTTTTCAGGTGCAAAAAGAGTGTACATTAACCTAATGCTTATTGAGAGACATGTGTGAGAAATATCATATAATTCTGTCTCTTGCTTCTTCTTCATAAAAAATTGGTTCTTTATTTATAGAAACACAACACAATATATATATACACACCCTATAGTTTGAGAAGCTTTCTTGCTTACTTCTTACAAAACATTGATGGGTTTTTTACTCAAATCTAAATTATTTAACTATTCAGAAGAGAACTCTATTATTGTCTAGTTGATATAAAGCTTCTTGTTTTGGACATGCTCAAAACATGTCGCTTATATGTGCTTCACATTGAAAAGCTAATGGCAATCGAGATCTGATCTATAAACCATGAATCTACCGCACAAGACAATTCTATAAAGTGGCACTATATATATGAACCATCCAAGAAAATTTTGTAAGAGCTAGAAGGCGTCCAAGTGTGACAAGTCACATATTGTAATCGCCTGTTATTCTCTTAACTCTTAATTAAAACAAAATTTAACCTTACAAGCACATGATTCACTACAAGAGAACTGCAATTTTCTCATGGAATTTTTTCTTGAAAAAAATATTTGAGAGAAGCTCTCTTAGAATATCTCTCATAAAGCCTCTTCTAAGAAATTACTCATGAAATTTCTCACAAAAACCGAGAGAAATTTTAAGAGAATGATGAGAGAAAATTAGAGAGGAAAAAACCCGCTTAATGGAGGGAAAATGTTCTCTTAGTAAATCCCATGAGGAATGTTCGATAAATACAAAAAATTGGTGGCAAATAAAACAATAAAAATAAGAACTCATTAAGTTTCTTTCTAATTTGTCCAAGAGAATCTTTCTCAAATAAAAATCTGAGAGAAATTTAATGAGTTATTTCAAATAATACTAAGAGAAATGTTCTCTCCAAAAGAGTTGAAAGAAATATTCTCTAAACTTTTTCCAAGAGAGAATTTCTCTCTGACAAACAAGAGAGAATTTATCTCTAATTAAGTTGAGAAAATTTACTGTGAGAAAATTTTAAATGTCTTTCAGAGTGTTCCCCCACCACTTGCAATGGGAAAGCCATTTGTGAAAAAAATTACTTTTAATCCTTATACTTTACTCGAGTTTCGGTTTAAGTCCCTTTACTTATTTTTCAATATTCTAAGTCGCTATACTTTTCTCCATTTTGCAACATTGGTCTCTCTATTTTCATAGGTTCGTTGATGCAGTACAAACAATATCCAGATTGCTGATGTGTCAACTAACATTATCAAGTTTGCACTGATGTGTTAATTAAACTGGTGCTGAGAAGGAATTTTTTTAATCAGCAATATAAATTTTATAAAAATAAAAGCTCCATCAGAGTTGTTTTTTCAGAAAAAAAAAAAAGGATGAGATGGAGTTAAAATAAAACTCTCAACTTCAAAGAGAAGGGCAAAGGAGAACTGGAGAAGAAGCAAGGCTCATCGCTTGAAGAGGGAAGCAGATCTGGGTGAATAGCGAAGAAACTCATCTTCATTCGCCCTTTCATGCAAGGACAACATGTACACACCTCTAGGCTTTCCCCATCATCTACAAGTCTCCTGAGTTCATCATCTACAATTCTCTTTCCATTTAAAGAGTAATATTGAACAAGTATCATTAATAAAACCTTATTTTTTTAAATTTTTTTTTATATTTTGGGATAAAAAATTCCTCTAAAGTTATCTTAGGGAGGGAGTATAATTTAAAAGATAACATGCAACAAAAAATAGTTTAGAAGTTACAATTTCATTGGTCAGCTCATAAATGAAGTGATGGTATGATCTATACAAGAATTTCACTTAGATTTAATTGAGTTTTATATTATTTCATTAATATTTTTATTTACCAATCGCCCTATATAATTCATGTGGTTGTTATAATTAGTAATTAATAGTATTACCTTTGGCCTTCCCATGCGGCATGCCCCATCTTTATAAATAGGCAACATCCATTACACCATGAACACACAAGCTAAACAAACAAGAAAATCACCATCTTATACCCTCCCACCATCGATCATGGCTTCCAAAAGCCAAGTTCTCGTTCTCTTTCTTTCTCTCCTAACATTGTCCTCCTTCATCAACCCCTCTCAAGGTGGCAAAATGGCCCTGTCCTGGGGACAAAACACAGCATCGATTGAAGGCACCTTAGCAGAAGCATGTGACTCTGATCTCTACGACATCGTCGCTCTGGCATACCTCCACGTGTCGGGAAGCACAAGATCCTTAAATTTCGATGACCATTGTCCTAACGGCAATTGCGAAGCCTTAGCATCGCAAATTCAACACTGTCAAAGCAAAGGCAAACAAGTCTTGCTTTCTGTCGAAATAGACAAATTCGATGCACCCGATTACTTGGCAAAGTATCTTTACAATAACTTTCTTAGTGGCCAAGATGGCCCTCTCGGAGCGGTGACCTTAGATGGCATCAATATTGCAAATATTGATTACAATTCTGAGCCATGGGTCGACCTTGTGGAGGCAATCTCTAGTTATTCGATACAAGAGAAAAAGATTTACATATCAGCATCCCCGCGTTGCGATATCACCACCTTCGACAACGCAATTGCTACTGGTCATGTAGATTATCTCTGGGTTTTATACTACGGCCAATATGAATCGTGCGAATATTTAGGAAATGGCGACTTCACAGGGCTTATTAATTCATGGTGGAAATGGACGTCCAAGAAAGACGTGGCTGATAGCTCTCTGTTCTTGGGCTTAGTAGCGTCAAATGATACAGCTGCAGCATCCTATGGTTACATAACACCAGAAGATCTCAATTCTAAGATTCTTCCGATCGTGAAGGAATCTTCAAAATATGGTGGAGTGATGCTCTGGAACAGGTACTATGATAAGCTAACAAGCTATAGTTCTAAGATTGACTACGCTACTGCATCACAGAGATTCAACAGTCTCTTGGCCAAATCTGCGTAAGATGGCATGTACTAGCTATCATGCAAGTGCGATCTATGCATGTTTGACTACAACCATGTAATAGATATCGCTCTAAATAAAGATATACTTTTTATAAATTTTATCTTTGAGCAATGTTTCATTAAGTTCTTTCATTTTTTCATTTTACTTTATATATATAGCATTTGATATAAGAGGATACAAGAGTCGTCAGCACATAAGCATGTACTCTCTGCCCCAAATTATATATAAGACAACATTGAAGGAATTTTTTGTCCCAAAATATAAGAAAACTTGAGAAAACTAAGATTTCATTAATTAACGATACTTAGTGTGATGATTAATTTTGTAGGGTATTTTTAAAAGTTTATAGTTTTGTTTTTAAAAAAAAAGTTTGTAATTAAAGTGTTATTATTGTGTTTTATTTGTATGCATAATTTTATCTCAAATTATCTTATAATTTAGGATGGAGGGAGTATATTATAAATATAAGTTGAAATTAAGATAAAATAATAAATAAGAGGATAATAAAACAAGTAAATTAACAAAGAAAAATGAAATAGAAACAAATTAAACAGGCAAAGAGAGAGTAAGATTGGTGGAAATAAGAGAGTTGTTATAATTTCAAATCAAGCGCTACCAACATAAAGATCATGATTTCTAAATGCAAGTTTTAAATAACTCATAATGCCAATTCACACTTGTATGTTCCCTCAAAGTAAAATGATTTTTTTAATTTAAAATTTATTAACACGAAAATATCTAGACTTCAGTGAAATTATAATTGTTATTTATATAATTAGAGAAAATTTTATTATTATTTTCTCTTCGTTTTTGTTATTTTAAAAAATTAAACTTAATATATCAATATTTTAACATTAATTTTGTACAGTTAAAATTAAGAAGCTAAAATAAAACATTTTATAAACTTAAAATACTGAATGTGCCCTTTAACATTAAATTTAACAAAACCGAAGAAAAGTAAATTTATTTTACTCTAAATACAAAAATTAAACAAGAACACATAAAAAAAAAAAAGAAGAAGAAAGGAAGGCCAAAAGGGTGCTGCGTCCGTATGCATATTCATCTGCACAAATTTCTCGTTTCTCTCTCCCCTTCACCCTATTTTCCAACAACTATTCTGTGAGTTTTCTCCCTCGTTCTCCACTGTTTCAGCTGGCGCCTCTGTTTTAATCAAATACGGGATTCAAAATTTAAAGTATAATGAGTTTAAGTGAAATATAAAAGACCCAGCTTTTAAAAAAAAAAACTTAAATATGTTGTAGTTTAGGTTTAGTGGATTCAAAATTATTGGATCAATGGATGCAAATTTTTAAAAGTTTCACCCTAGTTGCCAGTAATTTTTTTCAAGTTGAGAGGCAACCGTCAACCATTCCTCCATCCACCACTGAGTATGACCAAAAGCGATGAAGATGACACATACTTGCACAAAACCTGGTCGTAAGGGACAGCAGGCTATGGTGGCATCTTATGTGATGATAAAGGAATTAGATTATAGGTTTCTTAAAATATTTTAGTTATCATTTGAATATTGACTGAACTCTTAAACATTTTAAAAGGTCTTAACCTTTATTAGAAGAGGCTAATTTTACAAGAATTAATATTTATTCTGATTTTACGAAAATCCTTTCACATCAATTATAAGTTTTCTAAAAATCATTCCCTATCAAAAAAGGAATTTTATCATAAAAAATTAAATAGTCATCTTTAATTATGTAATGATAGACTTGTTCATCAAGTAGCGGAAGAAAATTTAAATTTTATTTTTAATCATTCACTTTTAGAATGTAAAATCCTTTTAAAATTTGATATCATCTAATTTTTGTATATCTTTACACAGTTTTTCTTTCGTGGTCTTATATTAAATTAAAAAATTTAGTTAAAAAAAGGTAAAAAAAAAAAAAAACCAGTGCAATCTACAATGTAAGTGCCAAATGGAATCATATGATACACGTGCTTCTAGCTAGTGGTATGTACGAACTTCAATCAATGTTGGTGTCCTTTGTCATCATCAAAGGGTACATAGCAGGTGCTTTGTCGCGCGCACATGGCTTTAGCCGCGGATGTGCAATTATAGTAACGTTGGATGTGACATATATTGGCTAACCAAAAAAGTAAAAACAATTTCATTGTTCGAAATGTTTCTGTTTGCGGTGAACAATAAATACCAGACGTGTTAGAAATATTAAGTCTCAATTGATAATAAAAGGACCTCTAGTTCCCTTATTACAGTTTATTCGGATGTGAAAAGATACAAAACTTTAGTAGAATAAGTGTTCGATTGTTATTGAAATGTAAAAAAAATTACACACCTAAAATTAAAAACTAAAAAGGGCTAACAAATATAAAATTTGTGAGTCTTTGATTGAGTGTTGATTAGTTTCTTCTGTATTTTCTTCTTCTATTTATAGTGTCAGAGTAGCGATAGCCTTTTCCTTGAAACTTAGAACGTTTTGTCGAAGAATCAAGGATCTCGCGAAACTCATGGCGCAGTCTTTATTTCACACTCTCTATTTTGATAACCAACCCGTTTCATCAAGATACTTAGGCATAGATTTTGGCATTAATTAAGATCGTGTCTTCGTGCCAACAATCTAATATTTGCACTTGACGGGATTTCGGCATGTTTATTTATTGTAGCATTTATTAAGCCTCAGGATCGGCTCCTTTCATTTATATTGGGCCTGACGCTTCAATTACTTAGCCCAATTAGCCTTGTGACCTATTTGAGCGATATTTTATATTTAGCTCAAACAATGCCCCTGTGTGCCAATGGCTGGTAACATAAGCCACGTGGCATGTTTGAAAAAACTGAAACATCACTTTGCTTCTGAGCGCCCTTTGCTAATATAAACTCACTTCTTTTCTTCACTTCTTTTGCTCTTTCTACTATTTCTTAAACTTTAAGTATTTAATCTTTTGCATTCTTCTTACCTTAACTCTTAAATGGCATCCTCTGGTTCTGCCACTTCTTCTATTGCTGCTTCATCTTCCACCCCCATTGGGAGTTTACTTGATTCTCTAGCAACTATTCAGAATCTCATTACCCCACTCAGAGGGTTTGTGATGATACGTATTTAGTGGTCTGAAAATCCTTTTTTCCCCTAGATTGGTTCCTCATTTTAATAGTTGTTTATTTTTTTTACAGGAGGATTCTTTATTCCACGAATCGATGGCTTTCTGGTAAGTTTCTCATTCCTCATGTTTAGCCCTTCTGTTTTATTGGAGAAGTATGTTAACTGTGCTTTGTTTTTCTTTTCCAATACTTCTCCTTAGAGCTTTTAAATCTCCAATAAAAGTGACGTCGAGTATCTGACCATCTCTCCCGACCTTTTCAAAGTCACGGCCCCTACTCAGCCAAATCCATAGCCACTGACCTTCCTTTGCAACCTAGTCTTAGCCCAGACAACTTTGCCCTTCCCTGAGTCGTCCTACAGAAAACTCAGGAATTGGCCCAGGTCTCTTGGCTCTTGGGTCAACTAGGTAAGGTGCTTGAAGTCGCAAGTGGAAGGAGATGGGTTTGCATGACCTAATCTAGCTATCCCTAGCCAACGTCAATGTCCCCATCGAACTTCTGATAGCCCTCCTAAGCTTTTAGGCTTTGGGCTACAACGCCTTCATCTTTGAGCTCAGCCTTATGTCCCTCACACTATGGGACGTTTTCATGTCCTAGGGTTTCCCATCACCGAAGAGGAGAACTTCTATGCGATCTCCATGAAGCATGACTCCTACACTGCCCTGCCTGTCGATTTGGAGAGTAAGATTAAGAGTGCGGGCTCCTACACAAAGATTATAGAGTTATTCTCTAAGAAGCCATTCATTGAGCCTGTCATTGCCACGGATCATCTAGTCTTCATATAGATCCTACTGAGCTAATGAATCTTGGCCCTGGAGGAAGGGAAGCCCATGCAGCTGCACCTGAGGATCACCCAGTCCCTACTCTGTAGCAACCAAATAGCCTTGGGGACTAAGTTTCTATGCCACCTTTACGATGACATGAAGGAGTCGCTAATAAAGAAACCCTTCAGCAACTTCTATGGTCCTGTCTAGTTTTTGAAGTTATGGAAGACAGCCTATTTTCAACTTCTTCGATGGGAGCCTTTCCTAGATGATTCATGCACTAACCACTCCTTCACTTATCTCCTAGATGGTCATTCACTGACTGACTCGAAGAACTTCTTTGAGTTCTTCAGTCAGCAAAGCTAGTCCTTAAGGAAGACCTTAAAAGCCTTTAACATTCTGAATTGCCGCCTCCCTACCTAGTACAAGCATATGGTAGAACATAAGAACAAGCCCGCCAAGCTACTCAATGATGAGGTTTTCCTCTCGGCCATGACTCTGAGGAAGATGTGGCTGCCATACACTAGCTCTTCCTCTAAGTCTTTGAGGGTCTACTTGGAGTCTTATCATCCTTAACTGGTAACGGGTCAATTTGAACTGAGCCAATGCATCCTTCAGGGCCTGTCCCCCTAAATTAGTGTAGAGTTGTTGGATAGGAAGGCTATCAACTAGATAGTCATTCCACACACCACTCAGAGGCAGTGTAAGGTGAGACTTATAGATAGAGATGCTTGCCTTTGCTTTAATAAGTGGTGGCCCTAGCACTTTAGGCATATAATAAAAAGCCATACCAGTAAGTATTACCTTTCATGTTTGTCTTGGTTTTCTTTCTTTTATCTCATACCCTAGTCTAATCCTGTCTTTATTCTTGTAGGCCGTGATTGGACACAATCTCACGTGTTGATGACATTCTTGAGGGGAAACATTGACGACCCTGTAGCTTTTGAGGCCTAGACGGCCCTATTGTTGAGGATTGTGGTTTAAGGAATAGAGCAAGATGATGCCTCATCCTAATTGTTTGCCCCTTCGGTCTTCAAGAAGCCTAAGGTGAAGAAGATCTCCTCAAGTCATCCTAATAAAGGAGATGGTCCTGACAAGAGGAAGCAAGCTCTATGTCCTTTACCAGATGCTAAGAGGAGAAAGAAGATGATGCCTCCTCC